AGGGAGCAAGAGATCAAGCATTTACTTATGCTTGTAAGAAGTGCTTACTATGTGCCAGATACTGTGCTAAGTGCTTTAACAATATTATCTCATTTGGTTTTCATGACACCCTGGAAAGTCGGTGCTATTATTATCACCATTAATAGAGTTTAAGTGACTTGACTAGGATCAAGCAACCAGAAAGTGGCTGAGACTGGATTTGAACCCAGGTCTTTCTGACTCCAAGCCCAGTGCTCTATCCACTGTGCCACCTAGCAGCTAGAGAAGTGCTGTGATGGGACTTGGACAAGGTCATTCAGGGAGTTTGATTTGGGAATTTGAAAAGTGGGATTTGAATCCAGGTTTTCTGAATTTAAAGCTAGTGTCTGAGGACCTGAGTTCAAATGTGACCTCAGACACTTGACACTTATTAGCCGTGTGACCCCGGGGAAGCCACTTAACCCCAATTGCGTCACCAAAAAGCAAAAAAAATTCTAAAACTAGTGCTTTTCCCACGGTCACACAAAAGTTACCATTCTTCTTACCCGCCCTACACTCATTTTATTTCTTTATTGCTTTCCAAGACCTAGTTAGGAACAAAAGATAAACAATTTCTGTAAAAAGTTTTTCTGATTTGGACAACGTTCAATTTGCAGTGGCATTGCAAACAGTTGTGAGAGTGTTTGGTGTTCCTATGTAGACACCAGCACCGTCATTTGCCATTGCCTCTTAGTGCGAGGGATTTGAAAATGAAATATGAAAAAAAATATGAAAAATTTTGGCAAAGATTCAGCACAGTGGACCAGAAGATCTAAAAATTGTGGTAGCACTGTCATAGAGAGCTCCCTCCTCACTATTCCTTCCATGTGCTGGTGGTGCCAGACACATATAACAAAGTCATTTATTGGGAGAGGGCGGGCAGCTGAGGAGTGCTAGGATCTGCATAATGTCATTGAAATGTGAGATCATCTACTGATACTTGTGTTCAGTTTGATCCTTTATAAGGAGGCTTTATTGCTGCAATCAATGACAAAATTGAATTGGATGCATTCATATGTATAAAATTTGCTAACTTAGATTTTCTTTTCCTTCATTTTTAGAAAGATGTTAAAATTGTAGATTTAGATTCATTGTTTGGAGTAATCTAATGCTTTTTTAAAAAAATTACTTTAACACATGCTTGGAGAATTATAGTAGTTGTCTCATAGTGATCATGAGAAGTGGGGTAGCTAGGTGGCGCATGGGTAGAGTGTCAGCCCTGGAGTCAGGAGGACCAAGTTCAAATCCAGCCTCAGATACTTACTTGCTGTGTAACCCAGGGCAAGTCAGTTAACCCCATTTGCCTAAGTTTCCTCATCTATAAAATGAGTTGGAGAAGGAAATGGCAAACCACACTTGCCAAGAAAACCTCCGATGGGGTCATGAACAGGGACATTTTCAGGACATGCCTGAAAAATGACTGAACGACAAAAAAATCATGAGAAGCAGCATAAAGAGCCCAGCAGACCTTATACCAAGTCCTGCCCTTGACACGGGTGTGCGTACTCACACACACACACACACACACACACGCACGCACACACACACACACACACACACGCACGCACACACACACACACACACACACACACACACACACACACACACAGAGCAGGGGAGTCAGTTAACCCTCTAGGTACCTGTGTCAGCTCTTTAGGACTTCAAATTCCACAACAGATACAGATTTGTATTGGTTGGGGAAGTTTCTACCTGGAAGCTACCTACATTACACTATTAACCATTGAGTACCCTCAGTCCATCTTCCCTCCCCCCACCTCAGGGAGGCCTTGGGCACACTTATTCCACTGGGGCTCACCTTAGGTCAAGTCTATATATATAGCACTTCACTCTTCACTTCCCCCCCCATCCTACTTTAAGCCTGTCCATTATCTGGGTGTAAAAATTCCTGGTTGCAGCTCTGATGGTTGAGGAGCTGAGTTCAGAAATAAGGCTTATGAGTTATAGTTAGTGATGGACAGATAGATGATTGAATCTTAAAGAACATGGTGGTTTTGATCAAAAGTTCAAAGTTATTTGACATCAAATATTAAGGAAACTCGGCCAACCAAAAGTGATTTTCTTTTTGTCTCACCAAAAAAGCATATTAAATAATAGTGATGTTAGGGAATATTGTGTACAGCCATTGAGGGGGAGAGGGACTAGAGCTGTGTTTTTCATTGGTATAGGGAACTCCCATGTGATAAAACTCCATCTACCAATGCACGTTGGCACCTTCTCTTAAAGTTATAGGCTTAGACATTAGACTAGAGCAGTGATGTCAAACTCAAATAGAAATGGTGACCACTGAATTGTATGTAAGGATCCCTTTGGCCTGTATCTTGACTTAAAATAATCACATATTAACGTTAGCTAGGTTTGTTATATTTTTACTTTGTTATATACTTATCAATTACATTATAATCTGATTTGGAGGACACTTGGAAATGTTGCTGGCTGTGGGGTGGTGGTTTTATACCTCTGGACTATGGCACTGAAAAGTTAAGTGACTTAACCAGAATCATACTGCCGTTGTGTGTCAGAAGCAGAACTTGAACCCAGATCTTCCTGACTCCAGGGTCAGCTCTAGCCACCACGTCATACTGCCTCTCCTCCTACCTGTCTCCTAAGTCTCCTTTTCTGAGTCTTTATGCCTTTTAACTGTGGGTATCCCCTCTAGACTCAATCAATAAAAGCCATAAAATATTAAGTATATTGAGGCTGCCATTACCTTTCAGCCTTCCAGCCACTTCTCTTATGTCCCATACTAACCGTTTTCTTTCTGTTTCTGCATGGTTTGATACCTTCTGACACAGAACCGCAGCAGTACTTTGCTAAAACTTGCCTTTGGATCACACTTTCGGCTTTGCTGCTGTGAAACTATCAAAATAATACTGTGCTTTGGGAATCATTATAAAGCTCCTAGATATCTGCTCTCTGCTTCTGTAGGCTTTTCGGTGTCTAATGAAGTGGAGTTACACTGTTATACTTTGTTGAGAATTGCTTATTCTAACTTTGTAGGCACCGAGGTTTATTGTAAAGAATCAGAGTCAGAAGATAAGAGTTTGAAGGCTGGTTTTGTCACATATCATGTGATTTTGGGGCAAGTCATTTAATCTCTCAAGGCCTTAATATATCCATCTATAATTTGAGGAGGTTAGACTAGGCCGCTAAATGATCTCTGAGATTCCTTTTATTTCTATATTTCTGTGGTTCTCTAGGACAATTTTCTTAGTTTTGAGGCCCTGAATTACACAGAATGATTTAATTTCTTCAGCAATTCAGTAAGAGTTTCTCATCAACTTTACTTAAACAAACAAACAAAAAAAGAAGAACCAGTTGTGGAATGGCTATTTGGGTGGTCTGTAAGGGCACTGACTTTTCAAAGAACTGGTTGGTTAAAGACTGCTGTTAGTCTGTCTGCACAACCAGGCCCACTTGAGAGATTTTCTTCCTTCCTTTTGGTAGCTTGAACGTGGTATTTTGAAGTTTGGTAGTATTTTGATTGGCTAGGTTTATATTAGTTCTCTGGAATGAGGAAGATAATGATAGATTGACTCCAAATTGAAGGCTTCTGTTATGTGGTTTTAAAAGCCTTTTCTCAGAGAAAGAGTCATATCATGCAGAGAAAGATTTGGATAGATTCCTGTTCTTCCTTCCTTTTGGTAACTTGGACGTGGTATTTTGAAGTTTGGTAGTATTTCGATTGGCTAGGTTTATGTTAGTTCTGTGGAATGAGGAAGATAATGATAGGTTGAATCCTCATTGAAGGCTTCTGTTATGTGATTTTAAAAGCCTTTTCTTAGAGAAAGTCATGTCATGTAGAGAAAGATTTGGATAGATTCCTATTGCCTGAATAGATCTTTCATGGCAGAATGTGAGCCTCAGGTTCATTGGAGATGCTGTTATGAGGTTAGAGGGTAGATATGGAAGTAGGGGGTGGGAATTACAGTAGAATAAATGATAGATAAGAACTGAACCTTCCTCTGTTTCAATAAACTTTGTCCAGAGTTCTGTTTAAGGTCATAATGGGCTTTATTAAGACAGATTAACCCCATTCGGTTGTCTTAATCTACCATATATATCTTCTAATAAGAATTAAGAATGTAAGTTCATTTTCCTTTATTTCAAAGAAACTTTTTTTTTTTTTTGTGAAGGGAAACCAGCCCAGCAGTTCTCAGGGCTACTAGGGCAGATCTGCATCTGTCCTGTGACTTACGGTTTATGGAGAATTTTCAGTCCCAATGAGAGATTAAATTATTTTCCTAAGGTCACAATATGAATCAGAGGTGGGATTTGAACCAGGTCAGAACCTCTATTCACTATATTAGGCTGCCTCTTCAGTCTTCTTTTCCTTATCTTTAATTGCCTTCCTCATTCATTCTTAATTATTTGAGAAGGATTTTTGATTTCATTGGTGCTGTGTATGTTTGTACTACATGTGGTATGTATGTACAACACGTGGTGCATATGTACTACAGGAGCTTGCAGTCTCTTTATTCTTTATTAGTTGATTTGGTCTCTATGAGTTACTGAGGCCAAATCATACATCTCCTGCTGGCCAATCTTCTGGAACTTGTGTCTAAGTACTTAATATAAAAATTATTAGCCTTAAACATCTTATAAAAGTTAAACCAAACCATATTGGTTAATGGAAGATATTGATAACAAGCATTATAAAAGTAGAAGTAGGGGTATCTAGGTGGTGTAGAGGATAGAGCATTGGCCCTGGAGTCAGGAGAACCTGACTTCAAATTTGGCCTCAGACACTAAACTAGCTGTATGACCCTGGGCAAGTCACTTAATTCCAACTGCCTCAAAAAAAAAAAAAGAAAAGAAAAGAAAAAGAAAGTAGAAGTATCTTATTTTTATTGTCTTGCTCCAGGTATTACTCAAGAATGTTTAACGTTAACATTTGAGATTAAATGTTTAACATTTAACATCATTTAAGAGGCCAAATAATTTAAAGGTTTCTTTCTGCATAGGTTCGAAAGCATGTGAATGACCTCTATGAAGACCTAAGGGATGGACACAACTTGATCTCTCTCTTGGAAGTTCTTTCAGGTGATACCTTGGTGAGTTTTAAATCTCATCTTTGTTCTGAGAATGTGTTGTCCCTTTTATAATCTGATCAGTATGCTTTAGTACAAGTGATTTAGATTCATCTCCCAAAATGTGACTAGTAGCACCAAAGAAACAAGTTAGTTTACATAGATGTGCTTGGATTCATAACTTCAACCACTGAGTATTAGGAATTCAGAACACTTTTATTATATGTCTTACATGTAATCAAGATTTCACCTACAATTTTAAGGGTAACATTTCTGTTTTTTCCTGCTATTCTTTTTCCTTTTGGATTTTGCTTAGCAAAAGTTGGATGCATAATATAACTTCTTATTGAAAGACTCACAAATAGCAAGGAAATAAATATTCTTATCTAAAAATGGTCTAACCTACTCCTCAGGTATCATTTCCTTTTTTTTTTCTTTTTTGAACATTACTCTCCCTTCTTGGTTACCTGTTCTCTTCTTTATGTTCTTTTCATGCTCTTTTCATTTCTGGTATGTCTTGTGTCTTTGCTGTCCTATCTTCTGTCTGTTATATTCATTAGCCAAGAGAGCGAGATTTTTTGAAGACCTTACGGTTGGTGAGTTCAACAGAAGCATGCGAGTATGAACAGCATGAGGATGTGGAGGATGAGGATAAGGGGGTAGGTGTCGACCCCCATAACTCTACTAACTTAGTATTTCAAGTGTGGTGACTGCTACTAGATAAGTAACCCACAGGTTTGGAACCATTAATGGATAGGTAGGAAGGATCAAAAACAGATTACACAAAGTCAATATTCATGTACTGGAGAATTTGGTAAACAGAGAAGTCCTTTTTAGCACATTTTCACATTGTTAAATGATTAAAGTTTAGACACTTGCTGGTTTATACTTGTTTTGCACTGCATAGTAGCTGTATGAATTGGATAAACCATGCATGACAACAATATGATCAAAATAAAGAATTTTCCATAAAATACTGAAATCTAGCAATTAGAATGCCAAAACATTAACACAATGCATTTTGCTTCTGGGATTGAGATTTCAACAATGGCAATTATATCCTTATGCAAATCATTATACATAGTACTTCTGCTAGTAACTATATCTCAACTGTTCTCAAACCACATACATCTGGCAACTGTTGTTTGACATATTCTCTACATGTGTCGTGCTATTTAGAAGGGAAAAACTTTGAATTGTGAAACACTGTATTTTTATGAGGCTAATTTGTGTGGAGTTTACTCAAATTTAACATACTTATGAGGCAGTTCCAATTCTTCCAATGACATCTTCACCCAGTTACTTGGATTTCAATGAAAACTGTGCATTTTTATTGCAGTGAATTTAACACTTATTTTTCATCCAATTACACAGAAAGTAATTTTCTCTCTTCTGTGGTCTGCTATTTTTGCTGTATTATGACACCTTTAGCTTCAGCAAATTTTTCTTATTTGAGAAGCTAAATTGTCAGCTTTCCTTTTCTTTCTTCCTCTTTGAAGGCTTCACATGACAAATTTCAACTTGGTTCATCATTTTTGTTGTTGTTATTATGCTTTATCACAACTGCACATTTCCCATATTTTCTTCCTGGCAACATAATCATATTCCATAAGGGAAAGTGCCAATAAAAAAATCCATTTTTGTTTGTCAGATTCGCAATGATGGAGACAGTAATCATGTCCTTCCCTAAGTAAAGCAAATAATCACAGTGTCTTTTCAACATTTTGAATTCATGAAAAATCCAAAAATAAGAAAGAAGCATATTATTCAGGTTAGAGGTCATCAGCTTAACTGCTTTTCCTCTCTTGCTCTATACTGTGGCTGTTAACTTTTTGTGTCATTCTTTCACTTGGTGATTTTATACTAACTGCATGCTGATTTTGCCACGTTTCCATTAACTTGCCATTTATAATTAAAAAGAAGCCAAAGCTCTTCTTTTTAAATTTTGGTATTTTTAAGTGGGTAAGGGATATAATATTTAGTTAATGCATCCTTTTATTATCAAATGAGTACAAGCCAGACTCTAGTCAACTTAAATATTTTATGGTTTACTCTGAGGAAAAAAAAATTTCCTTTCCTTTTCAAATTATTCCAATTTATTCCTCTTCTTTTCTCTCATTGTACAAGGAAAAGAATGTTTGAAAAGGACCAGTAGGTATATATAAATTAGTCAACTTGAATCCACAGCAGTAAATATCGCTTTCCTTATGTAACTTATATTGTTTGGATTCAGTAAGAGAAACATATTCTTGTCAGCGAGAAACAATAGCTTATTTTTACAGCCTATATTTTTCCATTTTTAGCCTCGGGAGAAAGGTCGGATGCGTTTTCACAGACTACAGAATGTACAAATTGCCCTTGACTATTTGAAAAAACGCCAGGTATGATATTTTTAAAAGCCTACAATATTATGAACACTGGATGTTAGTGAATGAATATGTAGATTATATCAGGAAAAGAAAGAGTTAAAATATTTCCATGTCAAAATATTTTAACGATGCTAGTTAAATAAGTATTTAAAAAAATGTAATACTTACTGAAAGAATATTGATAGGAAAGAATAAATGAATACAAAAAAGCAGTTATCAAGCATTTCTTTATGCTGAGGATAAAAAACACAAATGAAAAATACAACAACCCTTGTCCTCAAAAAGCTTGCATACTAAAAATGGGAATGATACATTTTAGAGTAGTGATGGCCAGGGAAGAGGATGTTTTGGTCTTAGAAATCACAGCATAGGGACTGGAGCAGTAGAGCAGTCAACTAACATGGCCCAAGACAAAGATTTAGAGAAATTATAGGTTTCTACATTTCTATTGGTAGGAAGACCTTAAAGGAAGGAAGGGATGTCAGTAGATAGAGGTGAAAGTTTGTCTGTCCATTAAATGACTAAGATTTTTTCTTTTTTGATTTTAGAATTTATTTTATTTTTAATTTGTGGAATAAAACAAGTATTTCCATAACATAGTATGATAAAAAAGATAACTGTACATGAAACTGCAAATCTGTTCTGTACAACTTTGCCATTCCTTTTAAATATATAATAAAGTTATCATGTAAATTCCTTTTTTCCCCTTTTTTTCCTCTCTCCACCCTCACATATGGATGCTATTAGACATAAATATGTATTACATATATATGCAAAATCATCCTATACATACTTCTGTTTATCAGTTCTTTTTCTAGACCTTTTCTTAAACAAGTTTAACCAGTAATAAAAAGTTATTTGCAAAGCAGCATGGCACAGTAGATAAAGAGCCAGTCTCAGAATCAGGAAGACTTAGGTTGAGGACCTCAACTCCTGCCTTTGACAGAGTCAATAAACAAGCATTTAAGCTCTTATTTTCTGTCAGGTACTGTGCTAAGCACTGGAGATACAAAGAAAGCCAAAAAAGAGTTTTTTCCCTTAAGGAGCTCACATTCTAATAAGGGAAATAACATGTAAATAACCAGCTACGTGAAATATATATATAGATTAGGTGAAGGTGATCTGAAAGGGGAAGGCATTGGCAGTTAGAGAGGGAGTATTAGGAAAGGGGCAGGTAGGTGGTGCAGTGGATAGAGTGCTGGTCCTGGAGTCGGGAAGACTCATTTTCCTGAGTTCAAATATGGCCTCAGACACTTGCTAGCTCTGTGACCCTCGACAAGTCACTTCACTCTGTTTGCCTCAGTTTCATCATCTATAAAATGAGCTGAAGAAGGAAATGGCAACTACTCCAGTATCTCTGCCACAAAAACCCCAGATGGGGGTCATGAAGAGTTGGACACAACTGAAATAACTGAACAAGAAGGTCTGTTGCAGAAGGTGGATTTGAGCTGAGTCTTAAAGGAAGCCAGGGAAGATGCATGATAGACGTGAAGTAGTAGGGCATCATGGGAAATAGCCACTGCAAAGGTGGGAAATGGAGTGTTGTGTTCAAAGAACTACAAATAGGCTCATGTAGCTATATCATAGAGTTTGTGAAGTAGAATAAGGTATTTGAAGATTGGAAAGTTAGAAGATGCCAAATTGTGAAGAACTTTAAATTCCAAACTTTAAATGCCAAATGATCCTGGAGGCACTAGAGCTCATTGAATTTGACACCTTTGGAAAAATCACCTTGGCAGCTGAGTGGAGGATGTATTGGAGTACGAAAGATTTGAGGCAGGGAAACTCAGAAGGCTGTTGTAGTAGTCCAGGTGGGATGTCTTGAGGTATTGAAGTAGGGTTGGATCTGTATGAGTGGAGAAAAGGGGAAAAATGCAAGAGATATCATGAGGGTAGAAATGACAATATTTGGCAAAGGATTGGATGTGTGGGATGAGTGTTAGTAAAGAATAGAGGAGGACACTGAGGTTGTGAACCTGGGTGATTAAGAGGATAGTAGTACCTTCAACACTAATAGGAAAGTTGTAAAAAGGTGAAGTTTTTTTTTTTTGGTGGGGAGGAAAGGCTATGAATTTTGGTCAAGTCCTGTTATTTCCACCTTTGTAATATCTTTCCACATGTGTCTTCTTCTCTGCTTTGACACTGAAACCACCCTGGTGCAGGCCTTCATCACTTCATGCCTGGATTATTTCAATAGCTTGCTGGTTAGTCTCTCTGACAAATCTCTCCCCACCCCAATCCATCTTACTCAGCTGTCAAATTGGTTTTCCTGAAAATACAAGTCTGACCATATTAATTTCCCCCACCCCACTTCAATAAACTCCAGCAATTCCTTATTACCTCCAGGATCAAATATAAGATCTTCTGTTTATCATTCATTTTATAACCTGTCCCACCCCTTTCCAGTCTTCTTACACCTTACACCCCCTTCTCCAACCCCCATATACTTAGCGATCCAGTGACACTGACCTCTTTTTTTTTTCTTGGATACATCACTCCATCTCTGAGTATTTTCATTGGCTGTCTTCCATGCCTGGAACTCTGTTCCTCCTCATCTCTCCCTCCTAGCTTCCCTGGCTTCCTTCAGGTTCCAGCTAAAATCTTACCTTCTACAGGAAATCTTTCCTGATCCTGTGTAATGCTAATGATTTCCCTCTCTTGATCATTGCCCATTTATCCTGTAGAAAGCTTGTTTGCACATAGTTGTTTGCATGTTGTCTCCCTCATTAAACTGGGAACTCCTTGAGCGTAGGGAATGGTTTTTTTGTGTGTGTGTGTTCCTAGCATTCAATACAACGTCTGGCACGTAATAGATGTTAAATGAATATTTATTGACTGACTGTGGGACATCTCTTTTTAAGATGTCCAGTAAGCAGTTGGAGATGTGTGACTGAAGCTCAGGAGAAAGATAAGAGCTGTATATCAAGATCTGCATAGAGCATATGAGCCCATAGGAGCTAATGAGATCACCAAGTTGGATACTATAGAATGAAAAGAAAAGGAGGCCCAATGTAGAGCCCAAGGGACAGCCATAGTTAAGGATATTGAGTAGTGGTTAGAGAATCAGCACAGAGCAGTATCTTGAATACCTAGAGAGAAAAGAATATCCAGAAAGAGGAGATCAACAGTGTCAAAGCTACAGAGATGTCAAAGAGGATCAAGATTGAGAAGAGGTCATTGTATTTGGCAATAAAGAGATCATTGGTGACCTTGAAGAGGTCAGTTTTCATTTAATGGTGAACTTGGAAGCCAGTTGCAGAGAGTTTAGAAGAGAGTGAGAAGTGAAGAAGTGAAGGCACTGATTGTAAACTGATTTTTCAGGAATTTAACCACCAAGTAAGGAGAGATAGAGGAATATAAGTGAGTGGGGATGATAGTGGGAGCAATGTGCTGGAGAACTTAGGAGGGGATGGGATCAAAGGTGTACGTAGAGGGATTTGCATTGGTGAAGAGAAGGGCCACTTCTTCCTCTGTGACTAGAGTGAAAGTGAAGGTAGTGAAGGGAGATGTCTAGCTGTCAGAGGGAGGTTAGATGAGGTGGAAGGGAGAAGAGTCCCTCTCAGTGAATGGTCTCAGCTTTTTGGGGTTAAGTCTAGGGTGAGGTATTTGACTGAAGTGGTTGGGGGAAAAGGTGACGTGAAGGTAGATGAGAAGGTTGTGGTGTGTGGGACAGCTGTGAGTGCTGGGTTGAGATAAGTGTGACATAAATTTGTAGTGGACCCAGTTTGAATGGTTTCATTGATTTCATCTAGCTCTGTTCAGGGTAAGGTAAATAGGAGCAAAGAAGGCTAATGGTAGGAATAATCCAGGTTTGGGACTTGGCAAGGCATAGTAGGCATAAAGCAGGTGAAGGATAGAGGCAAGGAAATTGAGGGTAGACGCTAGTGTAGAGTTGAGTTGGATCACCAAAGGGTTAAAACAGAGAAGAGAGGAAAATGTAGCCAGAACAGGAGTCATGGTCTGGGAAAGAACTGAGAGGAAGAGGAAATGGAGGTCATGAGGAAGATAAAACAGGATTAGGGGTCATGAGGCATAGAGGAATAGGAAATGACAGCTAGGTGCAGAAGACAGCGTGCCAGGCCTGGAGTCATGAAAACCTGCATTCAGATTCTGCCTCAGACACTTAATAGCTGTGTGATGTTGGGCAAGACACTTAACTTCTTTTTGCCTCAGTTTCCTCATCTGTTAAATGGGGATAATAATAGCATCTGCCTTCAAGGGTTATTGTGAGGATCAAATAAGGTAATAATTGTAAAGTGCTTAGCACGGTTCCAGGCATATAAGTGCTATATAAATATTAGCGAAGACGATGATGATCAGATAAAGGAGCTTGGGAATTCTTGAAGATGGAAGTGGAACATTTACAAGTGTGATAAGGACAAGGTTGTGACCATTTTTGTGTAGAGCTGCAGAGGAGTAGAAACATGGATAGGAATTGAGTAGCTTGAGGAACTAGGGTATTAGTGTATTTTAGGGCACACTAATATATGTTTTGAAGTCAATAATATGTGGACGAGAGGTGGTGAGGAGAGTCTGTGAACAGTCATTGAACTCATTGAGGAATGGGGATCTATCTATACATAATGTCCACTGGGAACTGAATTGAGTGATAATTTTAGATATCCTGAATTTCACATAGGAGAAATTGCTTAGTGAAGGTGTTCAAGAGAGTGGCGATGGGGAGCAAAGAGTACTTCAACTCTTACACCATGAGAAAATGAGAGAAGGTATAGGCAGTAATATAAACAGTTGCAGAAGATACAATATCATTAGGAAGGAGCCATGTCTCAGTGAAATCTAGCAGATGGAAGATGGAGAAAGGCTTAAGATGAAAAGACATTTATTGATTATGGAACAGATATCCCATGGGCCCAATGGAAGTGGCAGGTAGATCTAGAAAAGGACCATGTAGGGTGGGGTTCAGGTGAATAGGCTTGAGGTTGAAGAATGTGGTTTGTACATCCTTCATCTAGTTCAGGATTACTGGGATGAAGTGTGAATGAGGGGATAGGGAGGAATATACTAACAATGGTTAGTAGTGAGTGTAGGCTGATTATCAGTGGTTTGAAAGAACTTTGTTGAGGTAGGCCTGAGATTAGACTGTTGGAGGGCCTCCTTGGAAGAGGCCTTAACCTTCTGACAGATGAAGATGTCATGTCCTGTGAGACCCAAGGAGTCCTGCTTCCCAGCAGGTAGGAGCACAGAGGTATGGCAGCTTGGTGAGGAGGCCAGGGTGTTTTGCTTTTCAAGAAAAACCCCTGGGAGGACAGGGGGGAAAAAAGATCTTGTCTTCAGGGCTGCAGTGACTTCTGCTAGTCTCTTAACCTTTCAATGCCCCAGGCAAATCTCTACAACTCTTAAATGGCAGAAAAATTTCTTGTAAGCCTTGGCAGAGAGTTTTCTAAGGGGGAATTCCCCTCACACCAATGAAATCACAGGCCTGAACCAAAACAGCAATAACAAATAATTACTACAAAGAGTCGCCTTCTAGGTGCTTCTGTGGGCAACTAAGTGGTGCAGTGAATAGAGCACTAGGCTTGGGGTCAGGAAGACTTATTTTCCTGAGTTCAGATCCAGCTTCAGACACTTACTAGCTGTGGGACCCTGGGCAAGTCATTTAACCCTGTTTGCCTCAATTCCTCATCTGTAAAATGGGCTGGAGAAAGAAAGAGCAAACCATTCCAATATCTTTGCCAAGACAACTACAAATGGGGTCGTGGAGAGTTGGGCACGACTGAAATGACTGAACAATAACAGAAGCCCCCTATCCTTTCATGAATGACACTGTATATTGTGGTGTCTTGAGCCAAAGGGAAAATAATATTGGGATTTCCAGAAGGGAAAAGCAGATATGGCAGAATTCAAAGTGGAGAAAACTTCCTTCTTGAGTTGATGGTAGATCAAAGGTACCTATAGTTCTACTTGAGACAGTTAATTTAGAGAGGGTGAGAAGAAATGGGAAAGAAAAAAATGGGAATAAAATGATATAGTAGTAATAAAACGGTAGTATCTGTTTCTTATTGTCTTTAAAATAATTTAAATGCTTTTACTTAAATTGTTATTTTTGAAAAGTTAATTTTGAAAAGTGAAATAGTTATACTTGGTTATTCTTCGCTACAATAGATGTTCTTAATATTAATACTAAAGAAAAAATCCAGCTATAGTATTAGCACGTAACATATACACTTCTTTCTAGGCATCAGTTTCCTCATTTATAAAATGACAGTGTTGTTCTCTGTAATTTTCTGAATTTACACAGAAGAAGGATGAGGAAGAGGAGGAACTCAAATCAGTGAATTGCTCTGATTGTTAATTAGTAACTTGGGTCCAAGATAACTAAATAGGATACTAGTTTTGAATTAGGTATTTATTTAAAGCATCCATGTTTTCTGTGGAAACTTTGAAACTGATTTTATGTTGATTTGAAAGAGCAGGGTTAGGGTTACCATTTTATCTAACATTGTTTTATCTCTTCTCTCATCACTTAGGTGAAACTAGTGAATATTAGGAATGATGACATAACAGACGGGAATCCCAAATTGACTTTGGGGTTAATATGGACAATAATTTTGCACTTTCAGGTGAGTCTTTTTATTTTTCTTGAATCCCATAATGTCCATTGCCTGTTCTCTGGCCTGTCTCTATCATTTTTTCATTTTTCTCACAGGAGTGATTTAGATGCATTAGTGTCCTTTGAAAAAAAATTGAAATACAGGGATTATATTCATTAAAAATATATCTCTTAGGTTTTGTTGCTTTATTCCTTCAAGGAAAGGAAACCAGTCATTTTGGCCAGTAGTATCAATCATCGCTTATTAGTTTGACATTTCTTTTCCATTTGTAAATAAGAACACAAATGAAGCTTCTTTTTTGTTTTACAAACAAAGCTTATTGTCTTTGTTTCAGAGTCTAAATAAAAGGGTCCTGTTTTATTGTGCAGAACAAACTTCATCTGTTAATTAGACTTTTTCATTTGTCTTAGGCTACACAAAGGTTTTGTGATCCTTACTTATAGCTAGTTTTCATATTGATTTTTGGTAAGTGTTCCTTAGTGTAGCTTAATAATACTGTACAAACCAGTTTCTAATTTGACTAACACTAGATGGCACAATAATTATAATGTTGCAACCTGTCCTGAATTAGGAACAATTTAATTCATGTTGTGTAGAGCTGTGCTTTCTGAGAATGACTTCAAAGGATGTCACCTCCAATATTATGCTAATTTTTGGTTATTTTAATTTTTAACGTATAATTGTCTAATTGTATTTTAACATATGTGCTGATTTTAGTCATCTTTTGTTTATTGCACACTTGATCATGTAATTGTGAAGTTTGTTAATTTTCCGAAGTATTGTGTCACTGACTCAAAGAAAATCATAATATGAGTTACTTATATGACGAATGTTAAATTTTTTACAATTGAAGAAATAATAGAGAGTTACTGGTTATTGACTTGAAGAAAACATTTGACTTCTTTGGGCAATTTACAGCCTCTTCTTCAAACAATAACAAAAATAGCTTGATTTCTGTAGGGGGCTTTAGGATTCGCAGAATGTCTTATACATATTATTTCATTTGATGACTCTGTGAGGTCAGTGTTGTAGCTGTCATTATCCCCAGTTTACCTATGAAGATACTGAAACTGAGAGAGCTTAAGTTATTTGGACAGAACCTTGCAGTCTTCCACAAGGCATCTCTTACTCATACTTCAAAAATTATATATATTGTAGTTCAGTTCCTGAGATAACTTCTGGAGGGCATGGACCATTTTACTTTAGTTTTGTATCCCTAGAATTGAGTAGTGCCTAGCACACAGCAGGTACTTAATAAATGCTTATTGATTGTTCTGCTGAGAGCGGCTAGCAGTTGAGTTGTGAAAGGGAGCTGTGTTCCTCAAAGGTGTTTGCTAGTGTCATGGAAAGTGGCATGAATTCAAACAAAAGATTCATCTCCTTTTATTGGTGAAATTCTCTACTCCTTTCTCTAAATGATTTTATACTAATTGTGTTGAATCTGAGGACATAAATCCTCCCAGAAAATTCCATAGCTGTCTGAAAGAGATTGGTGTAATCATCCACACTGGTAAGTCAAAATGAATGCAAAATGGATGTTCTCCAGAATGGACGCACAGCTGGAGAAGCAGACCATTGAGTGAATCCATCAGTATGTCTCTTTTAGATAGATGCTACAGGTGGGTAATGTCCCTTGCCCTGAATTGACTAGGAGGCAGTCGAGCTGATTGTGAAGTTGTATAATGTTTTCAGTGATGCCAAACTGCCCAATGCTTCCAAAGCCATTTTTCTTGTCAATATGGTGCTGTGTTTCTTTGGCTCAGAGAACACCATGGTCTTGGAAGTATTAAACAGATGGACAGTATGAGGAATATATTGACATCCTAATATTAGAGGCAGCCAGGAGGCATAAGGGATAGAACATTGGGCCCTGGATTCAGGGAGACCTTAGTTCAAAATCCAGTCTCAGATACTTACTAGCGTTATGACCTTGGACAAGTTACATAACTTTTGTCTGCCATGGTTTCCTCAGCTATAAAATGGGAATACCTCCCAAAAGTTATTGTGAAGATCAATTGAGATCATATTTGTAAGTGGTTTAGCACAATACCTGGCACACAATGAGCACTTCATAAATGCTTGTTTCCTTTCTATTAAAAGAACAAGAAGAAGGTCTCCGATTTGTTAGGTAGATCCTTTATAGAGAATGTATGGGAATATTAGTGGAGGGAGAAAATAATTGGTCTCTCTGAGTACTGTAGCAAAACTCGAGAAAGAGGAAGGGCTTGGGAATAAAAGTCATCCTTGAAACTCTAGTTTCTAAAGCCATTATAAATCCTTGCCTGCTCTTGTCAGATGATATAGAGTTTAAAATCTTTTCTGTTTTCTGTCTTACAGAGAGAGCAGTAGATGAGAAGTCAGGAAATTGAGGTTCTGGCTTTGGCTGTACTGCTAAAAGGCACCTCACCTCCCAAGGCCTCAGAAAAACAGAGATATGTTTTCAAGGCAGAGGGAAGGGAAGGCCAAAGCTTGGTTGACTCAATAATTGGCGAAACTGAGAGGATGATTCTGTTGATGACATATCCAATTTAGATAATGTATTTAGAACTAGAAGGGACTTCAGAAGTCATATAATAAAAGCTAGTGCTTTGAGATTTACTAAGAGCTTAACAAATATTATGTCATTTTATTCTCACAACAACACGGGGAGGTAGGTATTATTACCACCTCCATCTTACAGATGACGCAGTTGAGGCAGACAGAAGTTATGTGACTTGTCCATGGTCACTCAGTATCTGAGGCTTCATTTGGACTCAGGTCCTGACAACTAGGTAGTCAGAGTTCTGACCCTGGAGTCTAGAAGACTATCTTTCCAAGTTCAAATCCTGCCGTAGATACTTACTAGCTGTGTGACCTTGGGCAAGTCACTGAACCCTGTTTACTTCAGTTCCTCATCTGTAACATGAGCTGGAGGAGAAAATGGCAAACCACTCCAGTATCTTTGCCAAGAAAACCCCAGATGCTTTCATGAAGAGTCGGATATGACTAAAAAGACTACGGTCACTAAATGACCAGTCTCTTCCTTTACAGAGAAGGAAACAGGGCCAGAGAACTTAAGTGGCTTGCCCCAGGTTGCAACTTCAGAGTCAGAATTTGAAGCCAGGGCTTGACCTTTCTAAAACTGAGTGCTGTTTTTCACTGGCCTATACTGTAGTGAAAATTATATGCATCTGTGAGAAATAGATGGAGTACATGATGTTTCATCAGTGATGGTGGGAAAAAATGCCAGCTCTGGGGTAAGAAAAATTTGCCTTCAGGGTTTTGAGGGAAAAGATCATACCCTTGCTAGATTTCATAATTGAGAGAAATTCTGAATTCATGGCTCTAAAGACAAATAGCACATTGTTTCTCTTTAAATCATTTTCTCCTAGGATTATAGATTTAGAGCTGGAAGGGTCACTAAGATCAGTCCTACCATTTTACAAATGATGAAACTGAAGTCCAGAGAGGTAGTAACACTGGCCTAAGGTCACAAAGGCAGAATTTGAATCATGGTCTTCCCAATCATGTTACCAGTGTAACATAACACTATTTGTTTTAATGTCTTTTCTGGGAGTTAATGTGCACTTCTATATGGTTACAGTCCTAATTCAATCTAGAAAGTAATCTTATTCATCAGTGGTTTCTAGAAGTCTAAGAAGTAATTGAGGGTAAAGACAATTGATATAATTCATTGCAATAATTAAAAAAAGTTCATTGCTTCTTTACTCTTCGGTAAGAAATCCTGATATGGTGAGGAAACTATTCGTGCATATGTTTCACACACATGTGTATCTGTGTCTATATGATGCAATATGTGTTTATATATGTATGTATATATATGCACATGTATAATATGTAGTATCTGCATAAATCCATACATGGATAATGGACAAGAGTTGCAGCGGATGAGAAGACGTGGATGGGTTATGCTCCGAATTAGTGAAGGGAGTACTGACATTGTTAAAATCATAGATCATTGAAGTGACAAAGAAATTTTACGTTTGTTTTGGTTGGAATTCCTTTAACTTCAGTGAATGAACCATATGAATTAGGAATTTAGTGTAAAGGAAGGCCATCTGGTTAGGTTTATTTATGTATGGGAGGTTAATCATGGAAGAACGAAAAAACCTTGAAGTGAATTTGAATTGTCTGTAAGGAAGGGAGCCCAATGACATGTACTTGATGAAGGTGTTATATAGGAAGTCTCCAACATATTTGAGTGCCTGAAATTACATGGTGTTATGTATCTTCCCCCATGCTCCCATATTAACCAATATTAAAAAAATTCATAATAATAATAATAATAATAATAATAATAATAATAATAATAATTAACATTTAGAGTGCTTTAAGGTTTTCAAAATGCTTTACCTATCTTTAAACCTGATAACATCCTCTTAGGTGGTACAGTGGAAGAGCACTGAACCTGAATTCAAGAAGACTGTGTGACTCTGGGCAAGTCATTTCACTTCCACCTCAGTTTTCTCAACTGTAAAATACGGATGATAATAGTACCTATCTCACAAGATTATAATAAGGATCTAAAAATAAGAAAATATTTGCCCACGTGCTTAGTGCAGTGCCTAGCACATTGTAGGCACTTGTATTCCTTTGTTCTCTCCCTTATGTAATTTAAGGACTACAGATACTGTCCTTATTTTACAGTTGAGGAAACTGATAGCTTAGTGATGGCTAAGTGGCTGGCCCATTTTTACACGACTAGTAAATATCAGATTTGGGATTTGAACCCAGTTCTCTTTCCAGTAGGACACATTGTATATCAAGACATATTTATAATCGAACACTAGAATATTTTGGTCAAACATCTCATCTTTAAGTGAAATGGTATGTTTCTGACTATTGTGGTTAAGATTATATTTTTTATTTTTTGGATTGAATATGCCGAGATTTATGGCTAATTATAACAGCTGTAATATTCCCTTAATGGGACTTGACCACTTACCTAATATTATTGATACCTAGAAGAAAACATTGATTTAATAAAGGTAAAAAATCTTTTATGTATT